GGACAGGTGGCGGCGGGCGGCGGCGGCGCGCGCCCACCCACAACGCGCGAGCGCGCGCGCACCGCCCGCCCGCCGCGGTTGACAACAAAGAGCGGTCCAGCGCCATGCAAATATTGTTCGGAGCCGCCGCGGGCCGGCCAGCCAATAGGGCGGGCGTTCGTTAGCGTGCTCCGGTGACGGTACGGGAACCTCTGCCTGCCGGCCAATAGAACGGCCGTCGGCTGCGTGCCGAGCGGGGGGCTGCTCGCCCCCGGGACGCGGGAGGTGCCGCGCTGCACCTGTGCCGGGTTCCCGGAGGGCGCCTTCATGCCCCGGGCGTTGCTCGGTACCTGCACCGACCGCTGCCGCGTTCGGTACCACCTCAGGCTGCCTCGGAAGTACGTTTCCATAGGCCCCAAACGTCGAAGTAAAGATTGTTCTATCTCTGGGTGTTTTGTTATGATAGGTCGTTCTTTCTTGTATTTCGTTCTTTTTTCACGTGCTGCCTTCAAGGATCCTCTCTGCAGACCCCACGTTGCTGAAGGTCTGCTGGTTCTGCCATAGCTTTGTCTCCTGCTCCTCTTTGTTCTAGCGGGCACGATTTGGTGGCAGGCAGGCTCAGAGGACTCCATCAGGCTCCTATCCGGATACAGGTGGGTGTCTGCAGGGCCAGCCCTCCTTATTGTTTTCATTATTGTGAAGGACACTAAATTGAGAGTAGCCATTGAGCCCCTCTGTAGAGATGCCTTGCAGAGAGATTTTTACAAAGCAGGCAGCTCAGCAATTGCCAATTTCATGAAGTTAATAAGAGCAAGTGGGGGATTCTGCACCTGGCACAGAACGACCCTGGGTATGTACACAGGCTTTGGGTTGAGAGGCTGGAACGCAGCTCCAAAGAAAGGGATCTGCAGTTCTGGCTGGTGTGAAAACAGAACTGAGCCAGCAGTGTGCTCTGGTGGCCAAAGGGTTCCCAGTACTGCCACCGGGTGATGGAAGGGGCTGTCCTGCTGTGCTCTATGTGGCCTCACCTCAATCATTGTGCAGTTTGAATACCACAGCATAAGAAAGACGTAGAACTATTAGAAAGCATCCAAAGGAGGGGTAAAAATATGGTTAAGGGTATGGAGGACAAGGTATATGAGGAACACTGAGACCCTTGGGTTTGCTCAGCCCAGAGCAGAGGAGCTCTGAGGGAAGGCTTTCGTGGCAGCCTACAGTTCCTCGCAGGGAGTGGAGGGGGAGCACTGAGCTCTGCTTTCTGGTGACAGTGACAGGCACTGAGGGAACGGCATGGAACAGCATCAGGGTGATCAGGTGTGGGTTAGAGAAATGTTCTGCGCCGGAGAGCCTTGGGCATGGAGCAGGCTGCCTAGGGCAGTGGGCACAGCCCCAAGTGCCAGAGTTCAAGGAGCATTTGGACGCCACTCTCAGATACGTGGACTGCTGTGCAGGCAGTTCTGTTTGGAACCAGGAGTTGGACTCGATGATCCTTGGTGGTCCCTTCCAAATCCAGCTATTCTATCATACTGTGATACATGGCTGATGCTGTTTTGTGTCAATTCTTTTGAAATTTAAGGTGCAAACATGATAAGACATTGATTGGTTTGCACTTTTTATAATTTGAGTTTTTGTTTTGAATTTCAGGAGTGTTGGCACAGGCCCCATAAATATCGAGGGAAGCTGGGTTGTTTAGATGCACAGTTGTGCAGCTGACGTGGCTGACTCCCAACAGAAGGGGCCCACCTACCCGTGAGTTTGACCTTGTCAATCTACCAAACGAAGACTGAAGCCTCTCAAGCAGATGAAGTTCTTCCATACTTCCAGTGTAATCCATTCACAGGGATACTCAGAAAGTAGCTGAGATTCTTTAGCAGTGCCTGGAATCCATTTTTAAATGATTTCCTTTTATTACCTAGACTTCAGCTTGATGGGCCTTACAAATAGGCAGAGCTATGAAAGGGGTTATATGTATTTATTCTTTCCCTGGCTACTTATTCCCACCCCCACAAAGCCTGGAACACAAGCAGCTGAAAAATAACCTTTTTTAAAAAATTATTTTCTGGGTTAGTTTTCATTTCCCTAAGTTTCCTAAACCCAAGTTCGACATATGTGCTGGCAAAAGATGCAGCTACTGCAGAGCAGTAGTGAGGCAGTATAACAAGACATAAGGTAGGGAAGACCTACTTCTTTCAGTAGTAGGATCTGTGTAAGTCTAAAGTACATTTCTGTTTTCTATGGGAACCAGCATCAATCAAATGCTTCTTACTTATATGTGTTTGTTTGCACCTTTCTTTGTCATTGTTTTCTGTAGCTTTTCAGTGTAGTCTTCAACTTATGCTTTTAGCATTTGGCTATGTGATGACTGTAAAATTGTAGAATTTTGCTTTTTCTTTCTTTCTTTCTTTCTTTCTTTCTTTTCCCTTCTTATGTGAGCTAAAAGCTTGGTTTCAAATTGAGTTGATTCAGCTCTGAAAATATTTCTGTCTTGTAGCTCCTCACTGTAGCTGTCTGTCCCACCTTCCTTACCATCTCAACTTTTGTTGTTGTTTTTCTACTCTAACTTCCACCTGTAGGTTAATTCAAGATTAAATACAAAAATCCTGTCCTACTTGTGTTTTTTCCCAAGCAAAATACTTTTCTGTGTTGGTAACTGTTCTGAGTGACATCAATCTGTAACATTTGAGTGTTACATTTGTTGAACTCCAGCTAAGTTTCAAATGTTAGTCTTAACCGCATAAACATGTTATACTCCTTTACAGCCTCTGAATTGCATAATGAAAACCAAAGCCTAAAGATTAACTTTGTAATCAGTGACTGAAATGGGAGGCGCTAGAGGAAACACTTTAATTTTGTATGTGACCAATGAAATATAGACAACCAATATGAGAACCTGTTTGAATTCCCTGTGCCAATTGAAATAGCAAATAGTTTTTTGCTTTTTAATTTCCTATAATCACTAAAATCTGAACTGTCATATGTACCACAGTCATACTTAGTATCTAATGCCTTTGTCTACCAGCTTTGGTACCAAATAGAAATTCCTTCATTAAAATGAAGTCACACACAGTGTAACAACGGTGGTGCAGTTTTTAAGCATGGCTTTAACAGCTTGTTGCATTCGGAGTTTACTTTCGTGCTTCTCATAAGCATTTGTTAGATTAAGCAAAACAGATGCACTTATGTGGCAAAAGTTCAAAGGTAAGTTGTTCTTTGCTTTGGCTGGTATGAAAAATAACTTAAATAATGAATTACCCTGCTGTCACTCTCTTGCCAGTTTTACTGTGCTGCGTTCAGAAAGTTAGAGCTCTTAAAACTTCAAAAAAAGAAAAGTACAATCTTTCTCCATTAAAACACTTGTTACGTGCAGCTGATTTTTCTCTTTCTCAGCTGCTTCTACAGTTGAACAAGATGTCTCTTCCTAGAAAACATTGTTTCTTCACTCTGCCCCAGTATCTTTTCATCCTGCCAAAACTTCCTTGTTCTCTGTATTTGTTCCTCCACTTGAGGCAGTGGGAAATCTGTCTGCTATAATGACTTGCTACAGAAGTAAAACGAGGCTTAGGCTAGCTACAGTCCTTTTCTGAAGTCTATAAATCATCAAATGAGTCAAATGGGTCAAATGAGAAATTAATGGTGTGTCTACTGTCTCTTCTAACTGCCTCATTAATTTTTCCACCCTAATTGATTACTCTAGCATTTGTTTTCATACTTGAGGAGCTAAGTAGAAATAGAAACTGTAACACTTTTTCTACCATGGAAATGCATTTCAAAATGGCATTAACTGACCCGGTAAACTAGCAACCGGGTTAATAGTTGAGCAGAGCAAATAGAAAGCAAACTCATAACTGAAACTATAGTCGTGCAATCTATAAAGAAGCTTAATTTTATTCTCCTAAGTAATATAAACTGTTTGCATTATAAAATAACTGTTTTCTTTCATGTCTGACAGCATGTGGCCTGCTCTGTCTGAAATGCTCTTAGGTACATAAAATTGGACAGAAATGGGATTTAAGTTAGCTGAATTCAATGTTTTGATTAGTGACACAAAACACCGGGGGATGTCTTGAAGCTGAAGAGACACTGAGTCTTTTGCTTGGAGGCAAACGCTCTTATACACAAGCTGTTGTACTGGGTCACTACACTCAAGAGAAGATTTCCTTCTGCAATGCTTATGTGTTAAAGAAAAGCTGTGAGCTGCTCTCAGTTCTTTCAGGGAACAAATGTAGGTTCATACTCTCAAGGAATTATTTTGGCCCTGAGGAGTGTCACAAGCATCTGTGGCACTGAATTGAGGACTGAAAATAGACTTTAATGAATGTGTCCTTAAAAAGAGAGGAAGAAAAAAAAAAAAAAAAAAAAAAAGTAACTGGTTAGATACAGGAGAGTAAGTCTTCCCAAGCACTTAACTGAAGTTTAAGGGAGGCAGAGGGTGAAAGAACTGGGCTCCTGAATGTTTTGCTAGTGATTATGTAGAAATCTTGGGTCATACTGAGGTACAGAAAGAATAAAATTTTCAAGCTTCCTGTTTATGTTACTCATATATCTGGTGGAGTATAGGTAAAACAGCAGCTGAAACAATGCAAATTACTAGGTTGATCTGAAAGTAATGCCTCATATTTATTTCCATGGAAACTATAAGGAATACAAAAAGCACAATAGTACTGTTTAATAGATCAAGTTCTCAGCTTTAAAACAAAATTTTTCAGCAAAGTCACCACCATTACCTGTGCATTTTCTTCAGTGATGAACAAGAGTCTGTATGCTGCACTGGCAAAAATCTGCACAAGAGGAGGTGACCCACTGTTTCACAGCTGCTATGACAGCGTTTCTGCTAGGAAAATGTTGCCCACGCAGTCCCTCTTTCATTGTCCTGAACAGATGGAAGTCAGAAGGTGCCAAATC